GAGACGGAGTTTCACTCTTGTTACTCAGGCTGGAGTGCAATGGCGCGCTGATCTTAATTCTTAATTCCATGATCATGAATAATCTTACTAAGTTAAGACTAAGATGATCATGGAATATCACTCTATTTATTTATTTATTCTGTTTACTTATTCCTTGATATCTTTCAGTAGAATTTTATAGTTTTTCTTATATAGATCTTGCACATATTTTATTAGATTTATACCTAAGTATTTCATTTTGGGGGGTGCTAATGTAAATGGTAATATATTTTAGTTCCACAGTGTCATTTTGACATATAGGAAAGTGGTTAAGTTTGGCTTATTAACCTTGTATCCTGTAACCTTGCTATAATTGCTTACTAGTTCCAGAAGGTTTTGTTGTTATGATTGTCAATTCTTTTGGATTTTCTACACAGACAATTATGTCATCTGCAAACAAAGACAGCTTTACTTGCTCCTTTCCAATCTATATTTCTTTTACTGCCTTTTCGTGTCTCACTGAGTTAGCTAGGATTTCCATTAAAAAGCAGTGGTTAGAAGGGACATCCTTGTCTTGTTCCTGATCTTAGTGAAAGCATCAAGTTTCTCACCATTAAATAGATTAGTTTCAGGTTTTTTGTAGATGTTATTTATCAAGTTGAGAAAGTTTCTCTCTATTCTTAGTATGCTGAGAGTTTTTATCATAAACGGGTGTTGGGTGTTTGTTTTTGTTTTTGTTTGTTTTTTTTTTTGAGTCGGAGTTTCGCTCTTGTTACCCAGGCTGGAGTGCAATGGCGCGATCTCGGCTCACCGCAACCTCCGCCTCCTGGGTTCAGGCAATTCTCCTGCCTCAGCCTCCTGAGTAGCTGGGATTACAGGCACGCGCCACCATGCCCAGCTAATTTTTTGTATTTTTAGTAGAGACGGGGTTTCACCACGTTGACCAGGATGGTCTCGATCTCTTGATCTCGTGATCCACCCGCCTCGGCCTCCCAAAGTGCTGGGATTACAGGCGTGAGCCACCGCGCCCGGCCTTGGGTGTTTGTTAAATGCTTCTCTACATCTATTGATATGACCATGTGATACTTTTCTTCTTTAGTCATTGATGTAATCGGCAATATTAATTGATTTTCAAACATTGAACAAACTTTACATAACTAGGATAAATTCCATTTGGTCATGGTGTATAATTCCTTTTCTACATTGTTGAATTTGACTTGCTAATATTTTGTTGAGGATTTTTGCATGTATGTTCATGAGAAGTATTGGTCTGTAGATTTCTTTTATTGTAAAGTATTTGTCTGGTTTTGGTATTAGGGTGATGCTGCCTCATAGGATGAGTTAGAAACTCTTTTCTCTGCATCATTTTCTGGAACAGATCGTGAAGAACTGGTATAATTTCTTCCTTAAATGTTTGGTAGAATCCACCAGTGAACCCATCAAGTCCTGGTGCTTTTTGTTTTGAAAGGTTATTAATTATTGATTCAATTTCTTTAATAGATATAGACCTATTCAGATGGCCTATTTCCTCTTACGTGCATTTTGGCAGATTGTTTCTTTCAGGAAATTGGTCTGTTTCATCTAGATTATCAATTCTGTGGGCATACAGTTGTACATAATATTTTTTATTATTTGAGTAATGTCTATGGGATCTGTAGTAATGTTCCCCTTTCATTTTTGATATTAGTAATTTATATTTTCCTCTCTTTTTTCTTATCCTGGGTAGAAGCTTATCAATTGCTTTTGGTTCCGTTGATTTTCACTGTTGACTTCTTATTTTCAATTCATTGATTTTTGCTCTAGTTTTTATTTCTTTTTTCTGCTTACTTAAAATTTAATTTGCTCTTCTTCTACTAGTTTCCTAAGGTAGAAGTTTAGATTATTGATTTTTAGATCTTTCTTCTTTTCTAATATATATATTCAATGCTATAAATTTCTCTCTAAGCATTGATTTCACTGCACCTGCAAAATTTGATGGTGTCCAAGTCTCTGGTGGCTTAGGGAGTATAAATGTCTATGAACATGTGAGTCATGGGCCCCTGGATTTCCAGAGAGCCTACATTTCCTGCTTTCTGTAGCATGTGGTCCAGAGACCCTACTGAGAAACCTGCTGGAGACACACTCTTCCACAGCAGCCAGCTAACCAGCCAACCAAAACCCAAAAACACTAGGAAATCCTAACCAGTGTTTTCTAATCATCAGATTTCTGAGGGGTGGGCTCTGAGTATCTGTACTTTTTAAGCCCTCTATGTGATTCTAATGAACTGGTGCCTTGACTACAACCACAATCTTCCATTTGCATTTCCCTGAATGTGATACACTTTCAGCCTTTAGCATGTGACTTTCCTTTGGTCTAGATTTCCCTTCCTCCTCCTGCTCATCCTTAAGGTCCAGCTCAGAGGTGGTCTCCACTTCTTTAAACCTTCACAGAGGCTCTCTTCTACCCACCTCTATCTTCCTACCCACCCACAAATTAGAATTAGTCATTTAAATGTCTGTGTCTGCAGACTGGGCAATGGCTACTTGAAAGCAAGCGTAGTGGCTATATTCATTATCTATTCCTGAGTAACAAATTACCCCCCAAAATCTACTGGCTTAAACAATAGTAAACATTATTGACTCACAGCTGCTGTGGTTCAGGAACCCAGAAGCAGCTTAGCTGAGTGTGTTAGGGCCTAAGTTTCTCATGAAGTTGCAGCCAATATGTAGGCCAGGGTTGCAGTCATCTGAAGGTTTGCCTAGGGCTGGGAAATCCGTTTTCAAGATGGCTGACTCAAATTTCTAGCAAGTTGGTACAAGAGGTTAACAGAAGGTCTTAGTGCCTTTTCGACACAGTGTGAATGTTTGTGGCCTCTAAATCTCATGTTGAAATGTGATTCCCAATGCTGGAGGTGGAGCCTGTGAGAGGCTCCCAGGTGTTTGGGTTGTGGAGGGGATCCCTCATGAATGACTTGGTGCACTCCCCATAGTCATGAGCTCATGTAAGATCTGCTTGTAAGCCTAGCCCTCCTCCTCCCTTGCTCCCTCTCTTGCCATGTAACACACTGGCTCCTATGCCTTCTGCCATGATTGTAAGCTTCCTGAGGGCCTCACCAGAAGCAAATGCCAGCACCACACTTCCTATACAGTCTGCAGAACTACAAGCAAAATAAACCTCTTTTCTTCATAAATTACCCAGTCTTGGGTACTCCTTTATAGCAAGGTAAATGGACTAATACACAATTCACATGAATCTCTTCACAGGGCTGCTTGGATGTCCTCACAACATGGTGACTGACTTCCTTCAGGGCCAGTAATAAAAGAGAGAGCAGCACAGTGAAAGCATCAATGTGTTTTATGACCTAGCCATGAAGATCACATACCACTTGTGCATATTCTATTGGTCATGCAGGCCAGCCATGATTCCATGCAGAAGATTATACAGAATGTAAATATAGTCATGTGCCACATAACAATATTTCTGTTAGCAACAGGCCACAAATAATATGGTGGTCCCATAAGATCATAATACCACGGTTTCCTGTACCTTTTCTATGTTTTGATATGTTTAGATATATAAACATTTGCCATTGTGTTACAATTTCCTACAATACAGTAACATGCTGTACAGATTTGTAGCCTAGGAGCAATAGGTTACACCGTATAGCCTGGGTGTGTAGTAAGCTATACCAATTAGCTTTGTGTAGGTATATTCTATGATGTTCACACAATGACAAAATCACCTATGGACACATTTCTCAGAATGTATCCCCGTTGTTAAGTGACACATGACTGTATAAAGAGGTGAAGATCAACTGGGGCCATCTTGGAGGCTGACTACCACAGTCAATATCTGTTATTTTTGTCCATCGTTTGCCTTTTTCCCTGTGTGGAAAACATATTTCATGTTGTACAATTGCTATTAAACCCTCCTCTTCTGAAGGGGAAGCAGGTAATGCAAGGTGGCTAATCTGAGGACTTCATTTCTGTCACCAGATAGGTCAGTCATGGGCATGTGATCAAGTAGAGCCAATCAGAATGTTTCTTGATTTTTGATAAGTGGATTCTTGTTGAGAGATGGTCTCTGTTCCTGTACTATTTTGAGTTCCAAAAATGATCTAAGCTGGAGCTCCTTATAGCCATCCATTCAGGTTACGTTGGAGGAAGCTATCTTTGGTAAGAGAAAATGAGGCCAGCACACAAAGAGAGGCAAAGATGAGCAGAGATGAAAGGAGGAAAAGGAGTCCTAATGAGATCATCTGAGTCCTCTTGATCCAGTCATGCCTGAAATTTACACCCAGACTTTTCAGTTACATGAGTCAGTACATTTCCTTTTTTTTTTAAAAGCTGTTTTAAGTTGAGTTACTATCACCTGCAACCAAAACAGCCCAACAGATCAGCAGGGTCTATATCTTTTTCCGCTTAAATTTCTGGCATTGGGTTTAATTCCTAATACTCAATTCAAATTTGATGAATACATTATTTAACTGTTATGTTTTTACATGAAAACAATTCAGTATGTGAAAACATTGGGGATTTTTTTTAAAAAAAAAAAGACTTGGCAACTTCTAAGTAACAGTTACAAGAACCGTAAATGTATCTTAAAACCTCTAAAAGTTTTGGGATCTGGCAACCCCCAAAACCATTGTTAGTCTGCTATGCTCAGGACCAGTTTTCTGTAGCTCTGTGTAATGTGGTTGAATGAGTCATTCACCAGGATCCTGAGTATACACAGAGCTAGTTGAGGAGACAGGGCTGCTGCTGATTAGTACCACATTGCCTTAGTGACAGGAGAATGGGAAGGGGCCCTGAGTGGAGCTCCAAACACTGGCTTATCCAATATGTGGATAAAATTCTGTTGCAGGAATTAAGGTGAGTAAATAGGTAAAAAGACATCCATAGAATGATGGTTGTGGCTGGTGGTTTATTTCCCCTCTAAGAGCCATGGCCAGAAAGGAACTTGTAAAGGAAAGGTGCAAGATAAGATTTACAGCCACAGGTGAAGAGTTCACCAAATAACCATGCTAGTAACCAGATTATCCCAACTCTTGCCCTCATTGACAGGCTGAAAGGAACATAGAAAAACATGAATGTTTGCTGTGACTTACATCAGTAACTTCACAGGTGAATGGTTGTTCTGGGATAGGACATTACAGGGAGATATAAAAAGAAAGGAAGTCAAATATGGATAAGAGAGAGGCAAGTTGTCTGCCTTTCTCTTCAAAGCCTTCTAAAATTCCACAGCTTTGTTGCGTCTAGGAAAACTGTTATACACATCATCAACCAAGTGACAGATCTTTATTTTTAATTCATCACAGAAGTCTGCTGCCCAAATGATCCTTGACAGAAAAAAATCTCTTGTTGGTAAGGGCCTTTTCTGAAGTCAAGGAAAACCTCAGAATTCCTTAGTTTTCCCCTGGGCTTTTATAGCAAGTTCAGTTTTCTTTAACCCTATAAATTCCCATTGTGGTGTCTAGTCACATACCAACTGTTATTCTTTGGAAGGGAAACTGTGGTATCTAAAGCAGGTACAAGCCTGGATTCCAGCGTCAGACTGCCTGAATTCAAATCACTGCTTCCCCACTTACCTGATCTGTATAACCTAGGACAAGTCACGTTTTGTGCCTCAGTTTCCTCATTAGTAAGATGGAAATAATAATATGATGAGGGGCACGGTGGTGCGCACCTGTAGTCCCTTGGTTTCTGAGTACTGAGGCACAGGATGAGGAATCACTTAGCC